AAATAGATTCATTCATATCTTTGTATTCTGCTTCTCGTAACATCACAGTATTTTTCTTTATTTGTTTATTTGTAATTTATTCTGTAAACGTATGATTACTTTTATCAAAACGAACATCTCGTGAGACAATAACTCGATTAGTTTCCGGGTCCCATAGTCTATATCCCATCATATCCTACCATTCGCATCTCTTTTGTTCTTGCCTCAAGTTTTTTTCCTTTTGGTAAATTCACTACCCATGATATACTTCCAAATACTATCATGTTTTTGATATTTTTTGTTACCGAACATTACATTTACTGGCACATCTCCTCTTAATGATACTTTTATATTTATTGGTCAAATTTCGTCTACATGCGACATTTTATTTATGTATTGTGCATTTATCATATTGTATGTTGCACCTGAATCTATTACAAACTGTATTCCTTTACTACTCGATGTAAACGCTGTATAAGCTAAAAATCCTGTTTTTCTTTATTTGTTTATTTGTAATTTCTTCTGTAAATGTATGATTACTTTTATAAAACGAACATCTTGTGAGACAATAACTCGATTAGTTTCCGGGTCCCATAGTCTATATCCCATCCCATCATATCCTACCATTCGCATCTCTTTTGTTCTTGCCTCAAGTTTTTTCCTTTTGGTAAATTCACTACCCATGCTATACTTCCAAATACTATCATGTTTTTGATATTTTTGTTACCGAACATTACATTTACTGGCACATCCCCTCTTAATGTTACAGTAGGTGATCTATTAAGTTGATAAGTAACGCATCTTAGAGCTTCTAAAGATATTTTGGTAAATTAAAAATTGTCTGATCTAATACTGATAACATTTGTGCCGTTTGTTTTCATTCTGTTTATGTATTGTATTAAAAATTCTTGCTTCACTTTTGGCTCTGAGAGGATAAACTTCAGTGTAGTGGGAGTGATCATCTATAATTGTTAAGTAATGTTTTTCACCATTCAAACCTTCAGGAGTTATCGGTCCTCCAATGTCACAATATATTTGTTCACCAATCTTTATAGTCTGGGACAACTCTTGGTTTTGGAAAGGTTTTCTTGCACTTTTTGCTTTCATGCATATATCACATTTTTCTTTAGATAAAGGCAGGCCTAAGAGACTCATTCCTGCGGGATTTACATGACCTAGCCTTTTGTACCATACATTTGCGGGTAATAAGAAACTTGTTCCATTAACAAATTCGCAATCTAGTACGTATAGACTTCCATTAGATTTGCCAGCAATTTGTCCTTTTTGTGTGTAAATAACAGCATACTACTTTACAGTTTGAGTTATTTATTCTTCGTACTGATAACAGATTGTGTAACAAATTTTGTCAGTTGACAAATAAGTTGACATTGTTTCTAGAGCGGTTACTACGTTTTCGTAGGAGTCGGGCATGGCTAGCAACAAATAGCATAATATCTCACTTTCACTTGGTTTAGCATCTGATGCCTTGAGATCTCTTACGGTCTTATCAAAAGTGATGAATAAGTATTCTAACGAGTTTTTATCATCATACTTCATTAATAGTAATTTCTTACGTGTTGAAAGTTGGATTGCAATGCCCGTTCTTTGAAATGTACTTTTAAGTTTTTCTATTGTATCTTTTGGTGTGCAACAGTCTTCTATTAGTTCAAGATGGCTGTCGGCTATACATTGACTTGTTAAATTTTTTTTATTATACTTTTGCTTAATTCTTTATTTTCTTTGAGTCAGTGGGCTCCTCCTCGATTGATTCTCCTAAACTATGCTCTTCAAAATGAGCTTTTACACGGAAAAACCAATTACTGAAATCCGTTCCGGCGAACTGCGTGATGCCGTATTTGTTTATTTTTATATCATTCTCCATTTTTATTATTTGTGCAGTAGCCCATAACCTCTTATTCGTTCTTAACATTTCTGTTTGCTAGTAGTGGAAGTAAGTAAAATATATGTTCATCTTAATATTTTTGTTTCCACAGACTTTTGAATGCACACCGCCATTACTCGTCTTTTTTTAACAGCTTCGACTCTTAACAATAAATAACTGAATAAGTAAGTAAAGTAACTCAGTAAGTCGTATTCTAGAACTGTACTCAATGCTCAAGTCAGGATTTGAGCAGACTTGAGTATGATTGATATGAGCACTGGAAATACGACCCTAATAGCAAGGACTTGAGTATGATTCTAGTGCTTTGAATCATACTCAGGTCTGCTCAAATCCTGACTTGAGCATTGAGTAGAGTTCTGGAATACGACCCTGAGTCTTAGATGTAAGTTTTTTTTATTTATTTCGTTTCATCTTACGAAAAATGATTATAAAAAGCCATACAACGTAACGTAAAATGATGTTTTATATTAAAGTAAGTTTCGTAATGAATAAATGAAAACTGTATTCAAATATCAAAGCCGTCTTCGCGCGAAAACGGCTCGCCGGCAGCCTTGTTGTCGTTTAGTCAATGTGACCGGTAGAGGTGATAAATAACGTCACGATGAAAAAATCACGATGATCCGCCGCCAAACAGTATCACCGTGACTCGTTGCGAAGGAACGACGTTCCAAAATCACATAGGTGTTCCTCCGTTCCAATAGCTATCCCCGTCACTCACATCACGACATACGTATTTGATACAATGCGCGATCTCCGTTCCGTGGTGACTGAGCGCGCCACTTGTTGTAGTTCTCTTCAAAACGGGCCATTTCGGCGATGGGAGTGAATGAAATAGGATGACTTTCTTTGCTCACTCACAAGGGTCGTAGGTGCTTATTACTACTAGAAAGGGCGGATGAAAAGAATCTGCAGCAGTTATTATAAACTTATTTATGAACAAAGTAAAATATTTTTGTATATTTGTTTTATTATAGGAAGAGTTGGTATTTTATATTTATGTATAATCTACTTTGTGTATTCTACTAGAAATATAATTACATTACACTTTATTGCTATTTTTAACAATCCAAAGATTCGCATTAAATAAGTAGCAAACAAAATTACATTAAATACAAAATCAAATTTTTGAACGGAATAGAAACTTATTACAAAGGGAGTAAAAACTTAAATCATGGTATAAAAAACGGCTATAAGTAGTAGGATCGTATTCCAGAACTCTACATAATGCTCAATGTAGGATTTGAGCAGACTTGAGTATGATTTCAAGCACTGGAAATACGACCCTAATGACAAGGACTTGAGTATGATTTTCAGTGCTCACTGCAATACTCAAGTCCTGACTTGAGCATTGAGTAGAAATGAAATGAAATGAAATGAAATGAAAGAATTTATTTCAGACTACATGTCCATATAATGTTAGTAGGAACTTAAATAACTATGTTAGTAGAATGCAAAATTTTCATTTTCGTTTACATGAATGGACATCCAGTGTTTAAGGATTGGGCTGTCCATCCTCTCTGCTATCACTCTAAGAAGACTGTTGGTACTGCCCCTCACTCTGGCCAGCAGGGAAGCCACTCTTTTCCGAATGATGGCCTGGAAACCGTCGATTCTAGCCTCCGTGAACATCCCAGAGGCACTACAGTATCGAGGCAACCCCATCAGTCCCCTTAGGGCATTGTTGAATTGGACTCGCAGGGCACTGTAGACTTTTTTGGTGTAATCGCTCCACAGGTTGCACGTGTATAGTGTCTGGCAAAAAGTTTTAAAGAGGGTGATTTTCACCTCATGAGAGCATCGTGCAAACCTACGGGCCAGCATGTTACACCGTACCGCCAGTGCCCTGCTCCCTCTCCAAGTCAACGTCATCCGATAAATTTTCCGTGACCCAGTGACCCAGATACTTGAACTTGGTCACTTTTTCCAGTTCAGTTCCGTTTAGAGTGACTAGTGGCGTCGAATAGGTTTTGGAACCTGATTTGAACACCAACAGCTCACTCTTTTTAACATTGTATCTGAGCCCATGGGCCTCGGCATACCTTTCACATACATTGAGAAGTACTTTAAGAGCGCTGATTGAGGGGCTCAACAGCACCATATCGTCTGCATAACTTATGTTATTAACAAAACAACCATCTACTGAACAGCCGACACCAGTGCTACCGAGCTCCTCCATCAGCCCATTTATGTACAAGTTGAATAGGTTCGGAGAAGTCAGCCCCCCCTGTCTTACTCCACATTTCATCTGGTATTCCTCTGAGGGCTTCCCAGCCCACCTAACAAAATTTACTTGATTTTCATACCAATATCTAAACAAATCTGTCAATTCTTTAGGTATACTCGTATTATACATTTTATTCCATAGGACGCCATAGGATACCATGTCAAAAGCCTTAGACAGGTCCAGGAAGTAGAGTTCTGGAATACGACCCTTAGAAAGAAGCCGCTGACTAAAACCGTATATCGTGATGTAAGTTATAGGCGTGACAAGGTCACGGGAGTAACAGTCGTGACAAAATCACGATGATTTATCACTGTGATTTTTTTGGAACCGGAACGACAGTCACGGCGATAGAAATGTAACTCTATTCCCCATGTCTAGTGACCGGCAATGTGCGGGGCGGGGTGCGGTATCTAAAACTAGGGAGGGGCGAAGAGTGTCCGTTCTCTTATTCTTTATTCTCTGGTACTATTTTTTTCCATCCTCTAAGCTGGTACTACATAACGAAGACATTTTGCAATGGCACCCAAGAAAGAAATTACTCTCAGTCTTGGCTGTATGGCGCATTAGTGCTTTTGCCTTTTCCAATCGAAAAACAAAAAAAAAATCACAATATTTTGATTTGATTTGACAGGATTCGCTCTGGACCTTTTGGAGGGAAAAGTTTCGTTTTTATTTTGACTTTCAATTATTTTGTGAAATCTAGTTTAAAGTGGAATAGGATAGTGCTATTGTGCCTTAATCGAAGATTAAAACGCGAAATTATACGAATCTCGAACTAAAATACCCTTATCGGCCCGTTCTAAGGAATCCCGAGTCAATCCAAGCACGCCGCCGCCTCAAATTGCCTATCCTCTTTGTGGCGGCCATTTTTACAGAAACATAATTAAACGAAGACATGGCTCAAAAGACTTAATAATGTACCAAGACTTGGCTGTATGGTGTAAAACCTTTGCCTTTTCCTTTATGGAAAGAAAAAAAAAATGATTTGACATTTTATCAAAATTTAACCTCAATTTTGCTACTGTACTAAGTTTCGATATTTATTAAGATAATTAACTGTATGCAATGTTGTATGCAAAGGTGGCGAGCATCGTGAGAGTCTACGGGGCGCGCGCTGTACACTGCAGCGCAGCGAACCTTGTCGTCGTCAAGAAGACAACCTCGGCCGCGGGAGGTGAGCATTTATCGTTACTTTCATAAATTTCCCGTCTTATTAGCATTGTATATAATAACATATATGAAGTCTACGTCCAAATGCAGACAAATGCTGCGAATTGCTGTTTCTCCTCATTTGTTGTACTTATGCTGTAGGAACTTTACGTAACGTTACAATTAATAATAATAATAATAATAACGCATACACTCGATATAGCCCCGCACTAGGGAAACCCTGTGTCGCGGGTGGCATGGACACACACATAGACAACCACAAATTACACCCAAACTCACGAGAGAAATAAATGTTGGCCATACAAATAATTCTCCCGGCCCGGGAATCGAACCTGGGACCTCTGCGTGGCAGTTCGGCATGGTAACCGTTCGGCCACAGAGGCAATTGAGCCTCTACAGTTTCTTACATAGGCAACTTCCATAGGATGGCAGCTGAAATAAATAAATACGCTTCCCGTTCGTAGCATCTTTTCTATCCTTAAAAAATTTATTACCATTTATCATAATTAATGACAATGGAGGCGTCGAGAAAGCTTAGAAACAACTGCTGCTTGTCACTGATACATTACTTCCAGTTAATACGAAAATGGTCAGTTTAAAGGAGCTATGTCCCCAAAAGATACAATGGTACTGAAGTAGAATAAAATGGAAAAATAATAATGTATTCTATAAAAATTACAGCTGAAGACACTATGTGTTATTTGTACATACATGACAACTAAAACATAACACAAAACAAATGGTAAGCATAATGGCTTCTTTGGTGTTCGCGATTGCTACACATTGGAAATCAAACTATTTGTTTCAGAATGCACATTTGTTTTTTCAAATAAACAACCAACTCACTGAAAGTCGGCCCTGACCATCCATGGTACCAGTGAAGAGCCTGAAATGTTGGTGTTTGAAAAACAAATATGTATATGCAACTTAAATCCCTAAAATATTAATGTTTCATCTCTGAATGGAACCCTGGCGCTGCAGCATATCTGGCATGTTTCTCATGAACAAGGGGAATTATTAATACACCCTGTTAAGAAAGCATCAATTAATTGGCTTTTATGAACTGGTGTAAACTATTTTTTCAAGGTACTCTAAATCCCCCAATTTAAATTTTTATTTTAACTTGTCTTTCATTTTTATATTTTTTGTTGTGATGGAATTTATGCCGAAATAAATAATAATTAAATTGAATTGAATGAATTCAAAGTAAAAAGCTGCTTCATGTTAAATGATTTAATGGAAATGGCATCTCACGTGATCTATGGCATTTTAACAACATGGTTTCCATATTGGTGCTTAATTATAATAATACTTTGTCAAAACATGCAATTCAGTTACCTACTGGTAATTCAATGTATGATAAATTTGTGAGTCCATGGCCAAAGTAAACCAGTTTCCGATTCCTCCCACTAGTTCTGTTGTACATGGCTAGATATGTGTGTGTAGAACACCTGGCCTCTAAACACATAGATGGTGCTATTCTAACATCTCATTATGCTTCTAATATGTTATAGAATGATAAGTGATAGTTACCAGTGTCCATCAGGTAGACCAGCTGGATTGTTTGCAGGTGTGAATGACATAAAAAGAAAGATGAGTAATTACATGTAATTGGCATGAGAAGTTAATTAAGCTTGTGTTTATGCGACAGGTGTGATGGGCCTCGGCAAAGGCAAGAAAAAGGCGGGCAAGCTGGGCACCATAGAGAAGAAACAACTGCCCGTTGAAGCCGATCCACACCGTCTCGTTACTTACGTATGCGGCTCCAACATTTACACCATTGGGGAGGATGTAAAGGTACATCCCCAACTTTAGGTACGATTTATCCCTTCGTGCCTAACGCTTCTCTGGTTACAGAAGCAAGGTACATATGTGTGTGGTACTTACCATTTTCTGTTAATTACAGATTTTTTCCATGTTCAAACTGCATTTTTTCTTATAGTAGAAAAATAATTGCTTTATTTACAAGCCAAACAATATGCGATTGGGGTTTACATTATCTGTTCTTTTCCACCTCTCATTTCCCCTCCCGTGTTTTGCAGATTAAGGAGGATAGCGAGTATCCAGACTGGTTGTGGCAGCTAAACACGGGTCCCCCACCTCGCATAGAGGACCTCGACCCCAACACCAAGCAGTATTGGTTGCGCGTGCGCGCTGCGGGCATGCGACGGAACAATAAGCTCCGTTCAATGAGAAAGTTCTGATCTTTGCTCGCGTGTTATATCATTGTAAAATAGATTTATTACTAGACAATTAAATTGTAAGCCCCCAACGCATCTTTCAATTTTTGAGGGGAGGGGAGGCATTCAAGTGATTCAGTCTTCGATTGAACTAGTTTATTTCATTGCGGACGATACATCACGTTACTAATTTTATTTTAATAACCCAAAAATAACGACACAACCACGCAAAAATTTGGACTCACCGGGACGAAATAGAACGATACTTAAACTTCAATCATTATTTTCGCTTTACAATTTTTACACTTGAATTCGTGTTGCGACCCGTGTCGCGGCGTGTCGCGTCGAAGAGGGGCAGCCGCACCCCGCGAGATCCGCTTCAGCTACAGGCAGTCCATCGTGTCCTCTTTAACTATCAGCGGCGGGGCCCACTCCCCGTGTTTCGTGCCGAACGAGTACGAGTACGGGTTCTGCAAAACAGGATGCGAATGAACAAAGCGGGACTGGCGCGAGAGTCTCGAACGGATCGAACGGCTCGTACCTTTTTGACGTTGTACAAGTTGGGCGGGTAGCAGGCGGGACCGGGCGACTTGGTAGCCTTGCCGGGGCCGTCCAGCCGCGCACTCAGCGAGTAAATCGGATACCTGCAACCGTACACGAGAGTCAATCGTCGCCACGACGCGGGGACGGAGGATCGGCGGAGGGCTCACCTCGTCTTGTAGATGTTCTGGTCGCGCTGGAAGTACGCGGCCGGCCCGGGCGACTTGCCTTTGGCGTTGTAGCCGACGCGCGCGCCCATGGTGTAGGCGGGCCCGCCCGGGCCCATGCGCAGCGCGTACGCGTTGGGCGCGGGGCCCTTGGAGGCCGCGGCGCGGCCCAGGCGGGCCCCCATGCTGTAGGCGGGGGCCCTCGGCTCCTTCATGGGCGGACAGCGCTCGGGCGCGTGGGCCCCCGGCCCGGGGGTCTTGGTGGGCGCGCGGGCGCCGAGGCGCGCGCCGAAGGACCAGGCGGGCGCCGTCATGGTGCCGTCGCGGGTCACGCGGTCGATGCGGTAGGCCGGCCCCGGGCCCAGCGAGCGCAGCCGGAAGCCCGCCATCACGCCGAACGAGTACATCGGGTTGCGGTAGCGGGACGGGTCGTGCCCCGGGAAGCCCACCGTCGTCGGCAGCCGGTACGCGCCCGGCCCCGGACCTGCGCCGAAGAAGGGCCTCAGGCGCGTCGCATTCCTCGGGCCTCGCTGCAAGGCACTTACCTAGCGGCCTCTTCGACATTTTGCTCTTCTCCGCTGCGACTGGACCGAGCGACGCGGGCGGGGTGAAATTGAGGAGTCTATTGCGGGAGAGTCACTTGAATTTTTCACAACAGAGTTTGCCGAAAATAATTATTGCTCGCGAGCATGTTCACGGAAATTTTGACGAAATTTTGACATCGGCAGAGCCGCCGTGAAACAAGTGAACCGATTTCGAATAATGTCGCTGCGATCGCGATCCAACGAGACCGCCGCGCGGAGTTTACTTTCCGTTCTTTATCTGCACGTTTTGCGACGCTCCTCCGTCGAGAAGGTATCGTCCTTACAGATTTAGAAATCGCCAATCTTCATCATCACATAGACGAAGTGCGTCTATCGAATGCATTATGTACCTGGAGCCAGTCAGTGTTGGGCGTTAATCAATTAAATTTCAATAGAAATTCAATCAGATTAAAAAATCAATTGCAATTGATTTCAATTGAATTGATTTTAATTGCAATTAATTTTTTTTTAAGATGGTCTAAGAAACAATTGAAACTAACAATTAAAACCGAAAGTACAGAATAAAAATGTCATTACGAATATGGGTTAAAAAAAAAGGTTATGTTAGTGGGGGGCCGAGAGACGGAGGCGAGCGATCCGCTCCCCAAGAGGTCGAGCGGGAGCGCCGCCTCGCGGCGCAGCGCATGCGGGACCGGTGGAAAGAGGGCTTGGCGGATCCCCCCTATGGAGCTCACACCATAGGGGCGATCCGTCCTGTCCTCGTAGAACCGGTCCCACGGGCCACTGTCGTACCACCTCGTGCAGGTGCTGACCGGGCACGGCTGCTTCGGTCACTACCTGCACAAGGTGGCGAGGAGGGAATCGTCCCCATCGTGCCACGAGTGCGGCGCTGCAGATGACACCGCGCAGCACACCCTAGGGGTGTGCAGCCGGTGGGATGGGCAGCGCCGCACTCTGACGGGGACTGTAGGGCAGGACCTCTCGCTGCCGAGCGTGGTTGCCGCCATGCTCGGTAGCGAGGAGTCCTGGGAGGCGGTGGCCTCCTTTTGCGCAGAGGTTATGTCGCAAAAGGAGGCCGCGGAGCGGGTGCGCGAGGACGCGGCGGACGCGCATCCGCTTCGGCACAGACGTACGGGGAGAAGGCGAAGGCAGTTCGCTGCCCGCCTGATCCCCTAGTGAGGCCAGCGGGCTCTGGACAGGGACTCCGGAACCTGCATTGCACGGCCTCACTCGTCTGGGGGCGGGTCGGAGGACAGCCGACTCGCCCCTCCGTTGGCGCGGGAGCCCTGGCGCAAGCTAGGGCGGCCGGGCGGCGTCGTGGTGAATGTTCACCGATCCCACGGCGCCGACTCAACCGGCGAAAGGGAAACCCGGGGAGGTTTTAGTGGGGTAGGCCCTCCAATCTGGAGGAAGAGTCCCCACATAACCCCTGAGTCTCCCTGGGCTCAAAGGTATCCATAAAGATTTGTTGAAGTTGAAAGAGAGTTGGGGGGCCGGTTAAGGGGCCGGCTGGGAGACCGGCTGGAGGTCGACCGGGGGGCCGGTTGGGGGTCGGTTGGGGTGCCGCTTGGGGGCCGGTTGGGAAGCCGGTTACGGGGCCGTTTGGGGGTTCGATTGGTTCAGTTGGGTATCGTTTTCGAGGTATTTGGGGGTACTCATTACAAATATAGCATAAATTTCTAAATCCAAGATGGCGGACACGACTTTTCAAATAAATGCAATATGAGCATCATTTTCGAGGTCTTTGGGGGTGCTCATTACGAATATGGCACACATTTCTAAATCCAAGACGGCGGACACGATTTTTCAAATAATGGCAAGTTGGGTATCGTTTTCGAGATATTTGTGAATGCTTATTACGAATATAGCATTTATTTCTAAATCCAAGATGGCGGCTACGACTTTTCAAGTAAATGCAATATGGGTATCATTTTCGAGGTATTTGTGGATGCTCATCACGAATATAGCTCTCATTTCTAAATCCAAGATGGCGGACACGATTTTTGAAATAATGGCAAGTTGGGCATCGTTTTCGAGGTATTTGAGTGCCCCATGAGTACCCCACTCATTACGAATATAGCATTTATTTCTAAATACATGATGGCGGACACGACTTTTCAAGCAAATGCAATATATGTATCATTTTCGAGGTATTTGGGGGTGCTCTTAAAAGTCGTGCCTGCCATCTTGGATTTAGAGAGGAGTGCCATATTCGTTACGACAGCACCCCAAATACTATATTGCCCATGCCATATTCGACCATAGAGGCGGTTAGAACAAATTTATTATCTGTGACAATGTTATTATTGCTTCATAGTGTGTGCGTGGGTCACTCACCAACACACCGACCCTACTCACCCACCCACCCCCTAACTCACCTCCTATCCCAACCCCTAACGCACCCCTTAACCGACCCCCTAACCCACACCCTAACCCAGCACCTAACCCGACCTCTAACACACCCCCTAACTCACCCCTAACCCCCCCCCAACCCAAACTCACCCCTAACTCCCCAACCCAAACTCACCCCTAACCACCACAACCCAAACCCTAACCCACTCTCGAACCCACCCCCATATATAAATAAATGTATCATAATTGTCAGTTTTAATTGTTAATTGCAGATATACGCGATTAACGATTGATCAATTGTTAGTTGCGAGAACCGCAATTAACAAATAATTAATAGTCAATCTTTAATTGCCAGAACAATTAAATTTTGCCCAACACTGGAGCCAGTAACGATTCAATTTTTAATTTAGCAAAATACCTCGTTGCAGATGTTGCGGAGTAAGTTTATGGGTAAATTTTGAAACTTCCTTAATTTTGGAGCCATCAAAGGTTTATTCAGTAAATAAGTAAGAAAGTCAGGTAGATTAACGTTTATTCGGGACCTTTGTTCGGGACAAGTCTAATGTTAACCATGCTTAATATTTTGTCGGAGTGTAGGTGTAATACGGGCTCAGCGACATCGGCGTCGGCTGCTTGATTAGTGGTACGGTAGTTATCAATATTATGCCGATTCAATTGTACCTGCGTTGCTGAGGTTGCTGTATCTGCAATACCTGGAATACTCTGTGATGGAGAGTTATCTGACGAGTGGCCCGCAGGTTTGCACAGTGTAAGTGTACAGTGTAAGAGACATAAAGCTCAACCTTAGAGCAAAGACCTCACAACTGTATATTAGACACTGGGGTACTTATTGTAAGAAAAATATTCATCCTCAGATCTTGTTTACGTCAGCATTCGTCTCTTATTATCAATGATCGGAAAAAGGTGTTCCACATAATATATAGATGCATGTATAAATATAGCTACAAGGAGCGACATAGAGTTGTTAAAACCACCAAATATTAATTAATTAATAACTAACTGCCTCCGTGGCCGAACGGTTACCATGCCGGACTGCCACGCGGAGGTCCCAGGTTCGATTCCCGGGCCGGGAGAAATATTTGTATGGCTTACATTTATTTCTCTCGTGAGTTTGGGTGTAATTTGTGGTTGTCTATGTGTGTGTCCATGGCACCCGCGACACAGGGTTTCCCTAGTGCGGGTCTATGTTGAGTGTGTGTGTTATTATTATTGTTATTGTTAATTACTTTTTCGAATTGGTTTTATTGCATCGCTGGACAAAACGACTGACCTAGAAAGTAGAAGTTAGATTTTAAAGTAATTCTAAAGGTATCATGTAAAAATGCAGTAGTTAACTGGCCTTTTTACCAAAACAGAGAATAAAAAAGTAACGAAAATGGTCACTATTCGCGCACCTCCCTAGCTTTAAATACCGCACTGCGCCCCGCATAATGACGGTCACATTAACGGAACGGTAACAAGGCTGTCCATGAGCTATTCGTTAAGGACAACTCGTTGATGTTTAAAGTGTTTAAATTTATTTATTACGAACGTAGGTACCTTACTATTATTATGGTGATCGTGAATTGTGCCATTTATTAATCTTAAGTCTTTTTTCTGTAAATTGTCTGCACTGCACCACTTGTAGGTACAGTTAGCTTGTAAAATTGCTAATTAAACAAACCACTGACTTTCAGAACATAGGTTATCCTGGCTTGAAAATCAGGGAACAGATAATCTCGTGCCAATACTTTGTTAGTATTTACCGTGTCACACATAGTAAACTAGTGCGTATTTGTAATACCACATCATAATAACAGGTATTTACTTAAATAAATAAAATATTATTATTAAAGAGGCGTAAAGTCTCGGTCAAATTGTGAGTCAAGTAGGTACACACAGAAAGCGTAGATATCATGCCCTGCGCACTCTGTATGAAAGAAAGATCTTCGAAAGTGTGTAAGAGGCGAATAACTGCTTACGGCTTTATGCCGTGCATGCCGTGCTACGAAACCGGGTACCTTCACAATGTGCAACTTGCCTATTAAGTTAACGTTGTTCATGTCAGTTGTGGTAGAGCAATATTTATTTTACTAATATAATTCGGAAATTTGCAGAGATTGCAATAAACTTATGTAACTATGTCGTTTAGGCACAGGGTGGAAAGCACGGCAAGCTTAAGATTTAAATCCAACTCTGTACCGCTTGCGATAAGAGCGTTCAATGTCCAAAATGTTTAGTTTGATGTGTTCTTCAATGTACACAAGTTTAACTTAGCCAATTTGATTGCAGTTGTTCCCCGTCCCCGTTCTGTTGGGAAATATCAGATACAAGTATAGGGGGTATTATGAACCTATACATAATACCCCCTTCTTCTTTTAAGTCTTGCTGTGGCGGGGGGCTCAGTGTAGCCGTGGTCGATTTTATTCCACGGTGAAGCTAAAGGTGCCTACAGATAAGATCGACATTGACGATCGATGTCGATTCAGGCAATGTCGATTGGGAACCTACAGACATAATCGACATTGTCGATCGACAACGAGAGTTATAGAGACGTTTCCGAGTTGTTTGGGAGTGCTTATTGAGAATGTGGCATTAATATCTAAATCCAAGATGGTTGCCAAGAATTTTCAAAAATTTATTTTTGGTAATCCTTCAGGAAATGGCATTTATATCTGAATACATGATGGCTGACACGACTTTTAGCATTTCTAACCAGATGGCGGGCACGATTTCTCAAATAATGGCAAGTTGGGTATCATTTTCGAGATACTTGGGGGTGCTCATTACGAATATAACACTTAT